GTAGTCTTTTAAACTATGTCATCTAATCACTGTCTTTACAGGTTTAACGAAGCGGGGCAGTCAACAAAATCTCGCCTTAAAACTTTTGACCAATCATGTGTTGACAAATAGTGCAAGCATGACAATCAAGGAACTACCGGTCGGCATCGGAATCTTACCAAAAAACCAACCATTCTCTGTATTCAGTGTAACACAATACGAAGAGGCACTTAAGGCTATAGAGTTTCTTCAACAAGCACTAACATTCGAAGAGGCTATCGAAAGGGCAGCTTCAATGCGAGAGCACATGAACGAGGAAATGTGGATGTTTGTTACTGAGAAAGCACTTCAAATGCGTCGAGACATCGATGGTAGTCTAGTGTTGCCGCCAATATTTCAAGTTCAAGCCAATAGTTTCTTTAAAAAGAGCAGCATCGAGAAGGCGATCAGCAACGCCAAGATGTCTAACTCCATTGAGTTTAATAAAATTGCAGCTGGCATCCCGATGTCAACGGGACCTGTATCAGAAGAGGAACCTGTGTGCGTTTCTGATCTATCACATGACTATACGTCGCCACACGACGCAGAGTCAATGCTAGCCTGGTGGAGAGAAGATGTCAGATTGAATTATTTTCACTACCAATGGCACTCTGAGTTTCCTCACGATAGCAGTGACTCCCGTCCTGCCGACCGTCAGGGCGAATTGTTCTACTACATGCACCAGCAGATGTTGGCTCGATATGATGCTGAACGATTAGCCGCCGGCTTACATCCTACACAACCGTTGAGTGATTGGAACTCGCCAATTGTCGTGAGTATTCATGAATATTCATATGAATATTCATGGCGATTATTGTTGTAATGATAATGATGAATGATGGGGATGATGGTGATTACGACGATGGTGATGATGACAAAATGTTGATGACGGTGATACTAATGATGGCAATGATGATAAATTACGATGTTAATGATGCTGATGATTATGATAATAATAATATGATGATGCTGCTGATAATAATGATAATCAAACAATAAATAAAGATTCACAATCAAACATTTATTTACAGGAAGGTTATCATCCTGGTCTTCTAGCTCGAAACACCTCTGACGGTTTTTCCTCTCGTCCCCCTGGAATGCATTTAAGTGGTAACATAAGAAATAAACCAAACATGAATATCCCATTGCCTGCAGGTATGAATGTTATGGAACACATGACAGAGCTCCGAAGAAGAATCATCGATGCCATTACGTCAAAACGAATGCTAATGGTAATTATAATAATTAAAGTGACGTCTCTTCTGACGCATTTTTAACAGGTCTCATCATCCATTCAGCGCGACGCGGCGGCGTGTGTGAATAGATAAGCCACGCAATACGTGCATTGCCGCAAATCACAAGATGAAGCTCATTATGTTTGCATTTTTAACAGGCATCGAGAATAAATGCGGCGCACACAGACTATGACGAAACGAGAACTTCGGTTATTTAAAAATTAAATAAATAAATAAATAATAAAATGGAATATATACTACATTACTAATTATCTTTACATTACATAACATTTATCAATATAACAATATTCATTGTATTCACCAATGAATAATATTTTAATATAATTATTAGCAAAGCCAGAAAGACTATGAGTTGCAACCTTGGAAATAATACAATTTGGAGTAGTTTCAATAAGTCTTCAGAGATCATATCTAATAGACAGTGTTGCAAAAACATAATTAACTTTCGGTTTGAATATTATCAATATCTCGAGTGTAGAAGCTATGTATATCAGAAAAAGGCACAGGTGTCATACTTCTAAAATAAATTGGTAACTGGTTATTTTTTAATTTATGATAGAACTTTAAGGTTTGAAGTTTGTGAATATCATCAACTTTCAATAGGTTGAGATTTTTAAATAACGGATCAGTGTGAGCATTGAATTTACTATTGGTAATAATTCGAACAGCCTTTTTCTGTAACTTAAGAAGCCTGACGGTATGGTGACCCCAGAGTAAATGTAATTTATATGAGACAAAATGAGTGGTAAATAAATAGTTTTAAGAATATTTGGTGGAAGAAAATGCTTAAAGTCAGGCTCCGGAGGAAGAAAAAAACTTTTGATATGTTGTAGAACTGAAAAAAGTAGTTTGATCAAAAACTGAGCAACGGTGAATGAGATACAGATTTTAGAGTATTGGGGAAAAAGGTGTAAAAATGGGCGGTTACGCCTCTTTTCCCTCCAGTTTTTAAATATTCAAAAATCTGTCTCACGTTCACCGTTCCCCAGTTTTCAAACAACTTTTTTTTGGTTTTTTTTGTTTTTTTTTTGTTTTAGAAAAATCAGTTCTACAACATATCAAAAACTTTTTTTCCTCCGGAGTTTGTTTAAAATACCTACTGATTTGGATATTTTGTTTCCAATACTATTGATATGACTGTCCCATTTTAAATGCTTTGATTATAATATCGAGGAAGTTAAAGTAATCAACAGTTTCAATTTCTGTACCTTCAGTTATTATTTTCGGGAGTTCTATCTTTTTTTGTGGTTGATAAAAAACTTGGCATTTAGTTTTCTTTATATTGAGAGATAATTTATTTAATTTTAACCAGTGCAACACCTTACTAAGCTCTAAATTAATATTGCTATTTGTGAGATACCGGTACCTGTTTTCAGCATCATTATTAAATGCCTTAAGTGTGCTTAAGAGAGTAGTATAATCATCATAGATAATTGTATTAAACAGTTGACTGGCAAAGGAAAGATCATTTTATATACAATAAATAGAAAAGGACCAAGGATGGATCCTTGGGGTACTCCAGTATAAGCCTGTCTCTTATACACATCTAGATGTGTATAAGAGACAGTGCACCAGCAGATGTTGGCTCGATACGA